CAAATTCATATGTTGAAAGCTAATCCCTAAGGCAAGAGTATGAAGAGCTGGCGCCTTTAGGTGATCCGCTCCTGAGGGCTCCTCCCTCAAGAATGGGATTAGTATCTTATAAAAGGGGCTTACAGGGGCCTTTGGGTTCCTTCTGCCTGTGAAGAAGCAGCAAAAAGGGCACGGTCTAGGAGAGAAGCCCTCGCAGACCCTTTGATCTTGAACTTCCAGCCTCCAAAACTGTGAGCAACACATTTCTGTTGTTTAAAAGGGATCCCATCTAATGTGATAGCAGCTCCAGCCGACTAAGACAACATCCCAGCTCTTGGCTAGGCAAGCTGGGAGCTCTTTTTCCTTTACTGAGGTAGGAAAGACAGCAGTTCACGGGTGGAAGAGGCTGAAATCAGAGTGGAACACTTTACTTGAAGTCTGAAGTTTTTTTTTTTCCTGAGAGTAAGTTTTGTTCTTGTTGCCCAGGCTGGAGTGCAATGGCACAATCTCAGCTCACCACAACCTCTGCCTCCCAGGTTCAAGCAATTCTCCTGCCTCAGCCTCCTGAGTAGCTAGGATTATAGGCATGTGCTGCTACACCCGGCTAATTTTGTACTTTTAGTAGAGACAGGGTTTTTCCATGTTGGTCAGGCTGGTCTTGAACTCCTGACCTCAGGTGATCTGCCCTCTTCAGCCTCTCAAAGTGCTGGGATTACAGGTGTGAGCCACTGCGCCCGGAGAATCTGAAATTTTATAGGGCACCAAAGGGAGCTGTCTGCCAAGCCACTGGGTTACTGAGGAAGAAAGTTGCTCCTGAAGAGCCCCTGAGCTAGGCACCATCAGATGACACTGCCCACAGGAAGGAGGAGCTGCTTGGAGGAGTGGCTCCAAGTAGGTGGGGTACACACAGATGGTAGCTGAAGCCACTGGATAAGGGGGTTACCAGTGAGAGAATGTTGAGAAGAGAGAGGGTGGCAACACTCTTCTTTGAGGAGAAGCTCCAAGGAGGATGCACTCAAGAGACAGAAGCTGCAGAAGGGTCAAGAGAGATAAGAGATAAGGTCTGCAAGGTGTCCTTTGGCTAGAGGGTGTCTGCAGAAGGCAGGGGTGAAGGCCACTTGCAGGGGCTGGGAACCTGGGGGTCCTAGTGGAGCTGCGAGCAACTGTTGTCAACTCTTCCCAGGAGCTTGTTCCTGCAAAGGGCAATGGAATGGAGGGAGGTATTGGAATGGCAGGTGGCAGGCCAGGCACAGTGTTACGCCTGTAACCCCAACACTTTGGGAGGCCCAGGCAGGAGGATCACTTGAGCTTAGGAGTTTGAGACAAGCCTGAGCAACATGGCAAATCCCTGTCTCTATAAAAAATACAAAAAGTAGCTGGGTGTGGCAGGAAACGCCTGTAGTCTCAGCTGCTTGTAGAGCCTGAGGCAGGAGGATCACTTGAGCCTGGGAGGTCGAGGCTGCAGTGAGCTGTGTTCATACCACTGCATTCTGGCCTGGGCAACAGAGTGAGTCTCAAAACAACAACAACAAAAAATGGCGGGTGGTAGCTGAGGAGGTCACTGCTGTGGGACCCCCAGGAGGGGTGAGGAGGGGCTCGCTGGCACAGGAGAAGGGGTGCTTTAGAGAAAGACTGGTTTCCTTGGGGTGGCAGGGAGCGCTCAGGATGTCTGCGAATATATGTAAACCAGAGGGTGGGTCTGTCCTTCCCTTTGAAGGAGAAGATAGGGTAACTCTGTTGACAGAGAGGGCAGAGAAGGAGAGATGAGGGGTCTGAGGGAAGAGGCCTGGCATAGAAGGCCAAGGAGATGGAAATGAGAACGGTCAGGACCTCCTGGAAGATGATCTATCTGGGCTAGCAGCTGGGGCTGCTACCAGGGAGGCTGCTGGGAGGGCAGGGCATTTGGAGGCCCCAAATCTGCATCATCCAGATTCTCTCCAGCAGGGCCCCACCTCCTAGATGGAGAAGCCTGGGAGGTGCAGCAGGGAAGTTGGGGATAGCAACGATCTTGGGCCCTCAGTATCCTCCTCCAGCAGGCTCAAGGGCCTGAGGTTGGTGGCAGGGGGCTGACTCTACCTCTGGGTGAGCAGGTGAAGCTTCTCAGGCTGCCTCCGGAAGACAGAGGCTGGGTTCTCTAGCTCTGGCCCCTGAGACCTCAAGGCACAGGTGCTTCCTGAAGGGGAAGGCTTGCTAATACCCCAAGCAAGGCCTGGCAAGGGAGGAAGAGCTTGGGGTCCCCCTTTGGCATCTGGGGGAAAGTGCTGGGGAAGTTCTGGGTAGTATGCACAGGGCCTCAGTGAACTTGAAAGACAGAAGCAGGCTGGGCTGGTAAACGGACCTTCACAACAAACACCCCAGGCCTCAGGCAAACCTGGAGCTCTGGAAGCTGAGGCTGTGGTCCTCCCAGCCAGCTGGGGTGCCCAGCCCTGTCCTGCTCAGCCACCATGGTTGGGGCTCACCCTGCAGGCTTTGTGAGCTGGATGCTGGCTGAATCTGGCCAGCCCCACCTGCAACTCAAGGGGAGGAGCAGGGGAGACACAGGATATCCCCACCTTTGGACCCTCTGAAGCTTCCCTGGCAGCAGCCTGGCCCCTCATCATGGCCCTCAGTGGAAAAGCCTGGAGTAGGGGGTAGCTGCTTCCTGCTCAGTCCCCTTGGCTTCTCATCAGCAATTCTATCTCATGTCACCACGTCCCTGCACTAAACTCCCTTACTCCGTCTTTTTAAAATACTCAGTGTGGTTTTTCTTGGCTGGTTGGAGCCTAACCGAGATACTTAGTTCCTAGAGCCCCAGACCTGGGAAGTGGAGTTAATCCTTGGAAGCCTGCAGACCCCCTCCATTGGGCTGTGGGACCCTAGCATGAATGTGAGGCCCACTATGGCTCACTGAGTCTCAGGGACCAGAAGTGCCCACTGGGTGCCCCAAGTGGGTGCCTTGCTACACAGGTATAGGGAGGGGCAGCCAGGCCACAGCAGCAGGCAGAGTTGGGCCAGGTCAATGCAGGCCTGGAGAGGCAGCCAGTGACCACTCAAGGCAGTGGTACCCCTGGAGCTTCTGGGCTGGTGGCTGAGGCTGTCACATTCCCCACAAGAATTAGAACCATGGTCATACCCCTCCCCACCATCTAGTTCCTCCTCTGCTAAATGTGAAGCACTGTCTCCCAGCCTTGGAGCTCACGGGCAGCAGATAACCCAGTACTTGGGAGAACATCTATCAAATGTAAAAGGCCATACTCTTGACCCAGCTGTTCTACAGATGATTTGTGTAAAATAAAGCATGTGAAAAGGTTATTTGCTATAGCAGTTTGTAATGGCCAAACATAGCAAACAACCCTAAATGGACCAGCAAGGGTGACTAGATAAATTGTGATCCTTCCACACAAGGAACACCATGTAGCTATTTAAAAAGAGGCAGCTCCATGTGTGTTTATGTAGATGAGTTACAAGATACACATAGTTAAAAGGAGAGTTCAGAACAGTGTATATGATAGCGTTTGCATTAAATATAACAAATACACTTGTCTATTTGCAAGTATGACTGAATCTGGTAGGATATACAATAGACTGGCACTGCCTTGAGACTGGGAATCCTAGAGGACAGGGAGGGAAGGGAGACTTCATTTACTGTACATCTGTTTGAATCTTTTGAATTTGTACTATGTGTGTACTTTACAATTCAATAAATAACTCACATTTTCAAAACAAAAGAGCATTTAGAAACAAATAGGCCAGATGTGGTGGCTCTTATCTATAACCCCAGTGCTTTTGGAGGCTGAGGCAGGAGGACTGATTCAGCTGGGAGGACTGATTGAGCTGGGGAGGTCAAGGCTGCAGTGAGCCATGATCCTGCCACTGCCCTCCAGCCTGGGTGACAGTGAGATTCTGTCTCAAAAAAAAGAAAGAAAGAAAGTGGAATGTCGCAGCAGTGTCTTCACTTACATCCTACTCCACTGCTAGCTATGTGACCCTCGACAAGTTAATTTACCTCTATGCCCCAGTTTCTGTAAAACAGTGATACCTTTTTGGAAAGGTTATTTTGAAGAGCAAGTGAATGAATATGTGAAGAGATGGAAGAACGCCTGGCCTGAGTCAGCATTATGAAGTGTTAGATATTGCTATTTTGCTGCCCCAGACTAACTCCAAAGCAATGCCACTTATGCGGGCTCTCCCTGCTGCTGCTTCTACCTAAATACTTCACTCATTTAGCAAACAATTTTCTTTTTTTGAGACAGGGTCCTTTTTTTTTGAGACGGAGTTTTGCTCTTGTTGCCCAGGCTGGAGTGCAATGGTGCGATCTTGGCTCACTGCAACCTCACCTCCCGGGTTCAAGCGATCCTCCCACCTCAGCCTCCAGAGTAGCTGGGACTCCAGGTGAGCTCCACCCTGCCCCCCTAATTATTTTTTTTTGTAGAGAGGGCGTCGCACTGTACCCAGGCCAGTCTAAAGTTCCTGGACTTAAGCAATCCTCCTGCCTCAGCCTCCCAAAGTACTGGGATTACTGGCATGAGCCAGCGCGCCCGGCCTTAACAAGTAATTTTCTTTCTTTTTGAGACCGAGTGTCGGCTCTGTCGCCCTGGCTGGAGTGCAGTGGCACGATCTCGGCTCACTGCAGCCTTCGCTGTGCCAGTTCAAGGGCCTCGTTCTCTCAAAGTGGTGGGATTGAAGGCGTGGGTCACCGCGCCCAGACTCAGGTGATTTTTAAACAAGTCCGGCCGTAGCTGCAGGTATCCTGGTTCTGTAGGAACGACGAAGTATGGACGGATCCACACCTGGATCTATGGATGGGAAGGATCTCAGGGAGGCCCTGGACGGAGGGAAATGCTCTGGTTTGCTAAGCCTGGCACCGACTGAGACCCACCCACAAAGCGACCCATGGAAGTCCCTGGCGGCCTCCTCTGCTCTGCCGCGGGGGAGCCCTGCAGGTGGCTCCCGACCTGCTCCCGGGCCATCTGGTGACGCTGACTTCGCAGCCACCACCTTAACTGGCGCGTAATACCAACCAGGGAACCCGTGGGCGGCCAGAGGCCCGGCTCTACGGTCAGCCCGCCCAGGCACCTCTCCCTGCCATGTGAGGCCAGAAAGTTACTTCTCCGAGGCTGTTTCCCGTGACCAGAAATACCTCCCGCCTGAGGTTCTGTGGGGTAGGGGAGGTTCGTGCACTTCTCACAGAAAACGTCGCACAGACCCGCCACTGCCTTTATTAAGAGCTCTCAGGAGGCTGCCTGGAGCCGAGGGTGTCTCCGGCCCCATGCTCGCGGGCATCAGGGCGAAGCTGTGCCCCCGAAAGGGCCAACGGGAACTCCGCGGTCCCTGAACTTCCGGCGCTGGAGGGCTCCTCGCTCAGGGCTGCCGGGAGCCGCGGCGTGAGTGCGTGCCGGGGCCGCGCGCGGGATCTCTGAGGCCTCGAACCTCAGGGCTGTCGGAGTCTAGAGATGCAACCACGCTAGAGAAACGAAGGCCGCCCGATTTACACCACCCCCGCGCTCCCCTCACACCCGGCGCCAAAAACGCTAGTCCCACGGCGCAGGCTGGGACCCGCGCGCCCACGGCCCAATCAGCGCGGGCCTTCCACAAAGCGAGCCCCGCCCCCACGCCGCTGCTGCCAGCACCTCCCCCTCCCGTGGCCGTCTCGGCCCGCCCATTCCCAGCCCCGCGCCGTTCTTGGTTAGAAGCTCGCGATTGGCTCATAGGGACGGCCGCGAGCTCTGGTTGGCCGGCGCGGAGTCACGAGGGCGTCGTCGTCGTCTTTCCACAGGCGATTACTGGGCAGGCTCTGTCTTTCGCCTCAGTCTCGAGCTCTCGCTGTCCTTAGGGTGTACGTGCTCCGGGATCTTCAGTACCGCGGCCGCCATCGCCGTCGCTTGGCTCCCTCTGGGCTCATCTGCGTCACTTGCTCGCTCCACACTCCGCCGCCATAAGCTGTCGTCATGGTGAAGCTCGCGAAGGTAAGCGGCCTTGAGTGCGAGCACCGAGATCTAGGCCTGCTTTCCGAGGGGTGAGCGCGGCGCCGCGGGGAGGAGGGCCTGCGCGCAGTCCCGGCCGCGTTCGAGGGCGCCATGCTGCGGGAAGTCTCGCGCGATTAGTGGGGAGGTCTCGCGGTTTCTGGCTACTTGGTGGCGAGGTGAAGAGCTTCTGCAGGTGTTGGGGGCGGCGAACGCGGCGGGAAAGACAGAGTCACTGAGCGCGGGGAGGGGGCGCTAGGCCCCGGGGCAAGGAGATGAGACCAGACTCATCTCGCGTACGAGATGCGACGCGTACGAGCTAGAACCCGACTCCTGACGCACGTGCCCGGGAGCGCGGCCTGCCACGTGGGCCTCGCCGCGTGGGTCCGGGAATCTCCAGAGGGAGTGGTGCGTTAGGGTGGGAAATGGCGGTATCGGCCCGAGTCGGAGGACCGGCTGCGCTCGGGATGTCTGCCCCTGCCCGGCAAGCCGACACGTGGTGGGCCCCGGAAGGTGGCTCTGCCGCGGTGTTTCGGGCACGTGGTGGCCTACCAGGTACCCCCACGTGGCCGCGCCGCCTCTTTTAGGGGCGGGGTTGTCTCGCTGGGAAAGGAATAACGTTCATCAGAAAACCAAGGTATTTTTTTTAAGTGCCTTAATGATCTTCACTCATAATTTGGATTTGGATTTGGATAAGGGTTGTAGAATAAGGTTCCGGGATTTGAAGTACTAAAACACGGGTGTACTTAGAAAGCCTAAGGAAAAAAAAAAGTCAAACCTACGGTAAAAAGTCAACCTGAAGAAATGATTTCTTCACTTCTTCAGGTTGACTTTTTACCGTAGGTTTGATTTTCTGTTTGTAGAGCCTGACAGCAAACATGTGTGGGCGGTTGAGAGCAGGACCTCTTGCATTGCCATTAGGGCTAGTTTTTATGTTAGTTGTGCTGTTTGGCCCTATGAGAAATGGATCTGAGGAAGGAGATGATGGCGTTTTACACTGAACAGTAATGGCAAAACGTGAATGGCCTGAAATGTCGAAGTGAAGATGTGATGATGTACTTGTTACCATTTTAGGCAGGTAAAAATCAAGGTGACCCCAAGAAAATGGCTCCTCCTCCAAAGGAGGTAGAAGAAGATAGTGAAGATGAGGAAATGTCAGAAGAAGAAGAGGAAGAAGAAGAAGAAGATGATAGCAGCGGAGAAGAGGTAATTTCATCCAACTCAATGCGGAATTAAGTTAAAACTACAAAATGGGGAGTTAGGACATGAAATTGGATGTCTATGATAAAAATAAGATTTTATTCATCTGCGTATCTCCTGTTGTAGTGATCGAGTGTTTCACAAGCTCTTCGTTCATGTCAAGATGTCATTTGGCTAAATATTTGAATGTGAGTTTGAGACAGATCTGGGGATCTCCTTTCCATGTGCCTCTGCAGGGCTTGGAGTGTGATTTGTTGTGCTGAATCGTTACATTTGTCCAGTTTCAACATGTTATCCTCACCCCCACATTTTAGACACAAGGGAAAGATCTGTTCTCTCAATGGCAGAGCTGGGCGTTGTATTCAGATCTGAGGATAACCTTACCAGATTCCTTTCCTAGGCTCCATTTAAGATTAATTGGTCTCTATTCCATTACACTACTCACTGTGTTACTGTTGTCTCTGGTGTAGACTGAGGGCTGCCACCGCCCTTTGTGTTAACGTTTACCCTCTAGCACTCCTGGCTATTTATTTGTTCGCTATGAAGACAAGTGAGGACTGAATTGTGCTCAGACTTCTCTTTGAGAATTGAATAAAAGTTACTTTTCCATACATTGCCTGATAAAACTAGTAATCAAAAAGCAGATTTCAGTGGGACTTTATTAATGTAGCTAAATGGTGGATTCATCGTTTTGTAAGGGATATTCAGCCTATTTGATCTTCATTTCATCTCGTATCTTAAGAATTGAGCTTCACCAAGCTTGGTACCAGCACCTACTGTAGGAGCCTCAGATGATTTAATAACAGTTAATGCTTGGAGCCTCCTATGTGTACGGTTGTGAATAATTTACACATAGCAATTCCTGTTCCTTAGACATGTAAGGATGATACTATTACCATTTTCAGGTGAGAAAGTTGGGATTTGGGAAAGTATGAGGTATGAGAATTCAGAGGTATTTTAAGTGTTCAGAAGGGTTCCTTATTCCTAGATATTCACCTGATAATATGGAGTTTAACATGGTAACGTGTGTCTAGGGCTTGTGGTCTTGAACCATAGGCATTGACAGAATCTAACACTAGTTGGGACCATGGTTGTCTTCTTACTGGTTTGGTTTTCATTTATTCTCAAGGTTGTCATACCTCAAAAGAAAGGCAAGAAGGCTGCTGCAACCCCAGCAAAGAAAGTGGTAGTTTCCCCAACAAAAAAGGTTGCAGTTGCCCCACCGGCCAAGAAAGCAGCTGTCACTCCAGGCAAAAAGGCAGCAGCAACACCTGCCAAGAAGACAGTTACACTGGCCAAAGCAGTCGCCACACCTGGCAAGAAGGGAGCCACACCAGGCAAAGCATTGGTAGCAACTCCTGGTAAGAAGGGTGCTGCCATCCCAGCCAAGGGGGCAAAGAATGGCAAGAATGCCAAGAAGGAAGACAGTGATGAAGAGGAGGATGACAGTGAGGAAGATGAGGATGATGACGATGATGAGGATGATGATGAATTTGAACCAGCAGTGGTGAAAGCAGCAGCTGCTGCCCCTGCCTCAGAGGATGAGGACGATGAGGATGATGAAGATGATGATGAGGAGGATGAGGATGATGAAGATGGTAAGGCGTTCTCTTGGTAGTTACTAGGCTTCTGTTTGCAAGTTATCTTGATTCTGGGAGCAATACTATGTATTCCTTCCACAACAACCTGGAGATCCTGGAGGTGAGATTGGAATCCTTGTGGGAATTCTCTGGGCTGTTGTGTGCCAGACTTAATTACCCATTAATGATTTTGTGCCTTGAGAAAATTTCAACAGCATAGTCTGATTGTTTTTCATAATACAGGATTTTGGTTCAAAGTGATTTTTTTTTTTTTTTTTTTTTTTTAAATTTTTTTGAGACTGAGTTTTTGCTCTGTTGCCATGGCTGGAGTGCAATGGCATGATCTTGGTTAACTGCAACCTCTGTCTCCTGGGTTCAAGCGATTCTCCTGCTTCAGTCTCCCAAGTAGCTGGGATTACAGGTGCCTGCCACCACACCTGACTAATTTTTGTATATTTAGTAGAGGTGGGGTTTGACCATATTGGCCAGGCTGGTCTCGAACCTTGACCTCAGGTGATGCACCCACTTTGGCCTCCCAAAGTGCTGGGATTACAGGTGTGAGCCACTGTGCCTGACCCTAAGTGGTCTACTCTTGCCATGACTATTAACTAACCATGGTGACAGGACTACACTTTATGTCCATTAGATTTTAAAACCGCTATTTATTTCTGGTGATTGCTGGAATTTTTTGACTAGGTGGCTTTTCTTTCAGACTCTGAAGAAGAAGCTATGGAGACTACGCCAGCCAAAGGAAAGAAAGCTGCAAAAGCTGTTCCTGTTTCTGTGAAAGCCAAGAACGTAGCTGAAGATGAAGATGAAGAGGATGATGAGGACGAGGATGATGATGAAGATGATGATGAGGATGAGGAGGAAGATGATGAGGACGAGGAGGAAGAAGAGGAAGAAGAAGGTAATTAAATTAGATTCTGACATACATTGACATGAGATGTTTAAAGGAGACACTTAAGTGTTTGTGGTTATTGATGGGTGATACATTGTTTGACATCTTGTCCAGAGCCTGTCAAAGAAGCATCTGGAAAACGAAAGAAGGAAATGACCAAACAGAAAGCAGCTCCTGAAGCCAAGAAACAGAAGGTGGAAGGTAACTTGCAGAATTGGGGGATGTGGGGGAGATAAACAGCACAAATGATGAATGACAAAGGGACTTAATACTGAAACTTGATGTTACCTTGCAGTGTGCTGATGTGCTGTGTATAGAAATTTTGCATTGGAAACTTTTTACCACACTTTACAAATAGACTGAGTTCAGCTTTTTTTGAATAGGCACAGAACCGACCACGGCTTTCAATCTCTTTGTTGGAAACCTAAACTTTAACAAATCTGCTCCTGAATTAAAAACTGGTATCAGTGATGTTTTTGCTAAAAATGATCTTGCTGTTGTGGATGTCAGAATTGGTATGACTAGGTAAGTGCTTCCCTGCATCTTACACATGGGTCTGTTAACGCCTTTCCCTCCCCTATTAGCACTTTAGCCTGGTGCTTTTAAACATGAATAATGTAAACATCTTCAAGGATTAGCATTAGTGAACTAAGTTAAAATCAAATTATAGAGCCCCTAAAGCGCAATTTTTTAATATAGGATAACTCTTAGTATAGGATGGAATAATCTTTAGTTTGTTTTTTTTTTTTTTTTTTTTTTTTTTTTGTGACAGAGTCTCATTCTCACCCAGGCTGGAGTGCAGTGGTGCAGTCTTGGCTCACTGCAACCTCCGCCTCCTGGGTTCAAGTGAGATTCTCCTGTCTCAGCCTCCCGAGTAGCTGGGACTTACAGGCATGTGCTACCATGCCCAGCTAATTTTTTGTATTTTTAGTAGAGACGAGGTTTCACCGTGTTAGCCAGGATGGTCTCGATCTCCTGACCTTGTGATCTGCCCACCTCAGCCTCCCAAACTGCTGGGATTACAAGCCTGAGCCACAGCACCCGGCCAGTAAGTTTTAATAATTTGGTGTTAGGAGCATTGCTTGAACCTGGGAGATGGAGGTTGCAGTGAGCCAGGATCATGCCACTGCACTCCAGCCTGGACAACAGAGCAAAACTCTGTCTCAATTTAAAATAATAATTTGATGTTTATTTTTTTGGAAGTACCTAAAACTGTTAGACTTGACTAGTCACAGTGAATGCTTTTATCCAGACAGGATTCTCCTGTATTAGTGCTTATAGGTGTTCTTTTCAGCTGCTGTGGTCAGTTGTTAGAAGCAATTTAGCTAGTAATGAGGACCTCAGAGGTGAATGTGCATGTCATATCTTCACACTAAGACCTTGTTCTGTAGCTACAATTTGCAGAGCCTTGACTTTATTTTGCTAATACCAGTGGTGCTTTTTAATGTGATCTTTGTTTGTACCATCACATTTGTCTGGAATACATATTGTGGATTTCGATTTGTGTTTTCACCTGTTGGAATTTTGCCCTCTTCTTCACCTCAAAGGAAATTTGGTTATGTGGATTTTGAATCTGCTGAAGACCTGGAAAAAGCCTTGGAACTTACTGGTTTGAAAGTCTTTGGCAATGAAATTAAACTAGAGAAACCAAAAGGAAAAGACAGTAAGAAAGGTATGTAGTGATTTAGGAGATGATGCAGCAAACCCAGGCGCTAGACTGCTAGGGAGAATGCTTTGGAACCCGTTTATTTATTTTTTTAAATTTTATTTTATTTATTTATTTTTGAGACGGAATTTTGCTCCCGTTACCCAGGCTGGAGTGCAGTGGCGCGATCTCTGCTCACTGCAACCTCTGCCTCCTGGGTTCAGGGAATTCTCCTGCCTCAGCCTCCTGAGTAGCTGGGATTACAGGCACGCGCCACCATGCCCAGCTAATTTTTTGTATTTTTAGTAGAGATGGGGTTTCACCATGTTGACCAGGATGGTCTCGATCTATTGACCTCGTGATCCACCCGCCTCGGCCTCCCAAAGTGCTGGGATTACAGGCGTGAGCCACCGCGCCCGGCTCCTTTTATTTTTAAAAAAATGTTTACCCTGCTTTCTTAATGCGGGATTTAATGAGTTAGTGTTTACAAGAGTACTCGGTGCTGCTTGCTAGTGTTACGGTGTAAATTCCTGAGTTAGGCAAATGAGCACTTTCATTGAGAATAAGATTAGATGCACCTAAATTAAAGGGTTCTGTCTTCACTGAAACTAGAGTAGGTCCCTAATTACGGTTTGAATCCTTTGCTTTTTTTCTCGATACAGTTGTAGTGTTTTAAATTGGTATATTCATTTTTTTGTTTGTTTCTAAAAATCATGCACATCTACTCTAGGTTGAACTCTAGTTTGAACAGATAGTTTGACATCAGCTGTGACAACATGGAGGGACCACTTGTGTGTTGCCACCGCGGTATCTCCATATTGAGCACAGAGCCTTGTATATCATGGGATCTCAAATTATTTGTTGAATAGAGCTATGTCTGTTTTTGCCCCACTTTTATTGTCGCTAAATGTTCAGGGTTTTTTTAGGCCATACAGCTAATTTTTATTTTTTAATCTAGAACGAGATGCGAGAACACTTTTGGCTAAAAATCTCCCTTACAAAGTCACTCAGGATGAATTAAAAGAAGTGTTTGAAGATGCTGCGGAGATCAGATTAGTCAGCAAGGATGGGAAAAGTAAAGGGTATGTTCTGTCTATTGAAATGTTGGGGTTTTTAAGGTTTTTACAACATTAACGCACTTTCCTGCATTAACAAAAGAAATGTTGGTTTGATTTTCTTAGGTGTAATCGTGGGCCATTTAATCTGTAAACCTGTGCCTCAATTACCCATCTGTACTGTGGGGATAACGTACTCATAGGGTGATTTTAAAAGACAAGCTAATACATATAAAGGAGCAAGAAATGTGCCTAGCTTATAATAAATAAGTTTTGTAAGTAGTAGCAGTGCTTTCAGTGAGGTGAAGTGACTGAAGAAAATTGAGTTTTTGTAAAACTTTTTAGTGGGAAAGCGGAAGCTCAAGTTTTGATTGAAAATTAGAAGGGAAGTTTGGCATTTTGATTGGCATAAAACTAAGGGCATTTATTGTACTCAGATCTGAAGCAAGTTCTGTGTTGCTGAGGTAAAAGCATTTGTGTTAATATGGTTTTTAAAATCACTAGTTCTTCTCCCTCCATTGCAGGATTGCTTATATTGAATTTAAGACAGAAGCTGATGCAGAGAAAACCTTTGAAGAAAAGCAGGGAACAGAGATTGATGGGCGATCTATTTCCCTGTATTATACTGGAGAGAAAGGTCAAAATCAAGACTATAGAGGTGGAAAGAATAGCACTTGGAGTGGTAAGAAATTAGGCTTGTTACAGGGTTGCAGAATTGGAGAGAAATCCTTTGTCTTTGTACTTCCTAAGTACTTTTTAATCAAAGTTACTTAAACGTAAGTGAAGATCAGGACATTATACTTCTAGTCATACTCTTAATTGGAGTAGTAATTTCTAGTCCTGAATGAGAGCTCTGAAATCATTTTGCATTGGAACACAGTAGGCAAATCAAGCTTCCTTTGTAGGTATGTTTTGTACTTTAAATGACTTCAACCATGTGTGTTTTGAACTTAGATTATTGTTCTAGGAAAACAGACCAGTAGTCAGCCTATACATAAAGAACAACCTGCAGGACATTGCAGCATATATACTAGGTACTCAGTATGTTGAGTAACAGAAGTGGATTTTACTTACATCAGTATTTGTGTAATAACTCTTTCAAGCACTGAAATTCTTAGGAATAAGATAGTACTGCTGTGAGCAAAGTTGGGAACCTGTGTGTCAAAGTTTTAAGATTGTGGCATCTCTGTCTGCAGGTGAATCAAAAACACTGGTTTTAAGCAACCTCTCCTACAGTGCAACAGAAGAAACTCTTCAGGAAGTATTTGAAAAAGCAACTTTTATCAAAGTACCCCAGAACCAAAATGGCAAATCTAAAGGGTAAGATAATACCTTTATGTCATCAGTTATGGTCTGTGTGTGTCTTATAGGTCTAAAGGAAGGTAAGGTCATGTGTGATCCTGTCAGAAAAGCCAAATCATTTTAGTTATGTAAATGAGTGTAAATAGCATCATTTAGGTATGGACTTGAGGGAAGGGGCTTGGCAGCATCATGTGACAGAGGACCATGTGCCTGGCAGCTTAGTCTAAGCATTAACTGTTCATCCTCAGGTATGCATTTATAGAGTTTGCTTCATTTGAAGATGCTAAAGAAGCTTTAAATTCCTGTAATAAAAGGGAAATTGAGGGCAGAGCCATCAGGCTGGAGTTGCAAGGACCCAGGGGATCGCCTAATGCCAGAAGCCGTAAGTTAACCTGGATAGGATGCTGTGGTTGGGGGTGGCACTCCAGTGCTTTCAGTGCTTATTTTTTGCACAACTTCTGTGTTTTCTGTTGCTGCTGAGTGAAGAATAACTGGATATGATGACTGATTACCTGAGAAATAATTGATGAAATCTCAAGAAAATTCCTCTAGATAGTCAAGTTCTGATCCAGCTGTCAACTCAGAGCAGCAAGCTTGCCTGTGATTTCCTGCCCCTCCAGTGGGCAGCACTTGCTTGGGTTGCTTCTCACACTTTCCATATTAGTTCTGGGGCAGGAGATCAACTATGCAGGGGCAATTTAGAAATGGAAACTCACAACAGCCTTATTTGAATTAAAACTAGTTGGCTTAGTTGCTTTTAACTGCTTTTCCACTAAGACAAGCATTCTTGGCCAATAGTCATACTAGGCATCATGCAGATTTCATTGTTATTATGTCTAAACTGTGACTTCACATAGTCACAATTTTTTTCCTTCCCCAGAGCCATCCAAAACACTGTTTGTCAAAGGCCTGTCTGAGGATACCACTGAAGAGACATTAAAGGAGTCATTTGACGGCTCTGTTCGGGCAAGGATAGTCACTGACCGGGAAACTGGGTCCTCCAAAGGGTAAGGACAAGAAGCATGGGTGCTGCCTCCACTTGAAGGGGTTTTTGTTGTGGAGACCCCGACTCTAATGTGTCTTCTCATTGAGCTCCTTTCTGTCTATCGATGGCAGTTTATGGATTCGCACGAGAAGAAGAAGAGAATTCACAGAACTGTCATTATTTTACCTTCTGTCTTTACAGAGGTATATTTGGCTGTTTTGTGAGACATTCTGGGGTTCAAGCTGTCATACCAGTTAGTTTTCCATAGAGAACTATTCTGTCACTGGTTCTCTTCCCAACCAAACAAGACTACTTGCCTGAACTTACCTGGGACATGTGCAGCAGGTGCTTTTTATAATGGGCAATTTCATTTGGTGTTCTAGGTTTGGGTTTGTAGACTTCAACAGTGAGGAGGATGCCAAAGCTGCCAAGGAGGCCATGGAAGATGGTGAAATTGATGGAAATAAAGTTACCTTGGACTGGGCCAAACCTAAGGGTGAAGGTGGCTTTGGGGGTCGTGGTGGAGGCAGAGGTGGCTTTGGAGGCCGAGGTGGTGGCAGAGGAGGCCGAGGAGGATTTGGTGGCAGAGGCCGGGGAGGCTTTGGAGGTAAGGTATACAGGGATGACTTCTTCAGTATGTACTGGATGCCACACAGCATATATGCTTCAGACCCTGTACCCTGTCAGGATTCCTAATCACTGGGGAGGAGGAGCTTTGTATACATACTTTAACAGCGTCTTGCTTTCCCCCTGTAGGGCGAGGTGGCTTCCGAGGAGGCAGAGGAGGAGGAGGTGACCACAAGCCACAAGGAAAGAAGACGAAGTTTGAATAGCTTCTGTTCCTATGCTTTCCCTTTTCCATTTGAAAGAAAGGACTCTGGGGTTTTTACTGTTACCTGATCAATGACAGAGCCTTCTGAGGACATTCCAAGACAGTATACAGTCCTGTGGTCTCCTTGGAAATCGTATAGATAACATTTCAAGGGCAATACCTTGTTGGTTTTGACTGGATATTCGTATAAACTTTTTAAAGAGTTGAGTGATAGAGCTAACCCTTATCTGTAAGTTTTGAATTTATATTGTTTCATCCCATGTACAAAACCATTTTTTCCTACAAATAGTTTGGGTTTTGTTGTTGTGGTTTTTTTGTTTTTTGTTTTTTTGCGTTCTGGGGGTTGTAAAAAGAAAGCAAAATGTTTTATCATGGTTTTTGCTTCAGCAGCTTTAGGACAAATTAAAAGTCAACTCTGGTGCCAGACGTGTTACTTCCTAAAGAGTGTTGCCCCTGGATTGTCACTGGAGAGCATGGCATAGCCAGCTCTGCCACCTGCTTCATCCTTACCAATGGAAATGCTCAGTGTGTGCATTTCCAGTGTCCCAGCCCACAACTTGGCTGAAAAGCTGGTGAGGGCACCCACTCCTACAGCCCTGGTGCTGGCTTGAAGGTGGCTGCAGCTTCTCCCACTTGTAGCAAGCCTGAGGATTATGTCCAGAAGAAGACTCTGGAAAGTATGGGAACACAGGTTTCCTAGGACAAGTAGTTAAGAGCATCAGGGTCAGGCACTGCCTCACGCCTGCAATCCCAGTACTTGGGGAGGTGAGGGCAGGCAGATGACTTGAGGTTAGGAGTTTAAGACCAGCCTGGCCAACATAGTAAAACCCTGTCTCTACTAAAGATATAAAATTAGCTCCGTGTGGTGGTATGCGCTTGTAGTCACTGCTACTCAGGAGGCTGAAGCAGGAGAGTCAGGTCAAACCCGGGAAACAGGTTACAGTGAGCTGAGCGTGCATCACTACAGGGCATGCCCACAAGCTGGGCAACGGCGAGACTACAAAGAAGCACTTCTGGAATAGAACTCATGCTAGATGGATAGACCAAAGGACATTGGGACTGTGGGGCTGAGGAGGAAACTGCCAATCCAGTAAAGCCCAAAAAAGCCATTCATTCTGCACTACATATATTGCTTATTTTCTGGTCATAAGTAATTGGCTTATAAGCAAGGTCTAAGTCAAAGGACTATCAACATTGTGATGAATTTAACTGAAACCCAGTGCCTAAAATCAACGTAGGTAGCCAAGTCCAAAAGCCTGTTCTGGTCAGGCCAGTGAAATCAGTTAACTGTTAAGTTTAGAAGGCAACCTGAAGACGACAGCTGCTTTGGGTTTACTCTGGTTGAGTTGGGTATTGAAATCTTAAGGATCCCTGTGCTTATCACCTGCTTGTCAGCCCTGTTCAGTGTCCAGGGGATGAGGGTGGTGACAATCCAGTTACAAGACCCTCATGCTCTAGAGAAGAAGGTGGCCAGCAAGGGTAGTAGCTATGAGAAAAAAGCAGTGGGAGGATCTCGTATGAGGCAAACGTAAAGAAAAAAAGGAAGCCCTTTAGCCAAAGAATCGAAGGCTTTCAGTTATTTGAAGCCCATTGGCTGTCATGGATTCAGTCTGTTAGCTCTGAAATTGCAGCAAGGCAGGTAGTATGAACAAGTATGAAGTTATCTCCAATGGCTGACCCAAGTTGCTTTCAAGAAAGATGTGTGAGGGATCAGGCACAGTGGCTCATACCTGCAATCCCAGCACTTTGGGAGGCTGAGGCAGGAAGCTCAAAACCCAGGAGGTGGAGGTTGCGGTAGGCCAAGATCTCGCCATTACACTCCAGCCTGGGCAAGAGTGGAACTGTCAAAATATCTTGTGAGGCTGTGTGCAGTGGGTCATACCTGTAATCCCTGGGAAGCCTGGGTGGGGAGAGGGTTTGAGACCAGCCTAGGTAAGAGTGAGACTCCCATCTCTACAATAAAAATTAGCTGGCCATGATGGCATAAGCCTGTAGTCCTCAGGAAGCTGAGGTGGGAGGATTGCTTGAGCCCAGGAGTTGGAGGCTGCAGTGAGCTGTGATCACAACACTGCACTCCAACCTGGGTAACAGAAAATGAAAAACCTTGTGACCTTGGTGTCTAGGTCCTCTGGAATCTATCAAATGATGCCTCCAGGACTCTCCTTGGTCCCCTGCAGCCTTCAGTCAGGTGACAATATTTCATAGATGATTTCTTTTTGCAATTTTTGGGAGGCCCATCAGTTAAAGTAAGCAATAATCTACAGGCTGGCTATCTAGGAACAGGAGCCAGGATTGCTGGTGGCTCTGGTGCAGCACAGCCATTGCTTTTTTGGTACTTGCAGAGCCTATGGGAGTGAGATGTTGGTAGGTTCCCTTGCTGTGTGCAAGGGAGGGCTTGAGTTGAAGGAGGAGTTCATGGCTCCCAAGGTGGGGCTTGCATTTCTATCAAGTTGCTGTTTGGTAAAGAGGCACTTGCTGTTACTATGCTCAGCAGCGGGGCTTTTTTCTCAGCCACTCTACTAACTTGCTGTGAGGCAAGGCAAGGGCAGGACACTAAGGTTCCTATCTCTTGATTCTTTTTTTTTTTTTTTCCATTCCTTAAGGAAAGTAGAGATGGTCCAGTCCTATGATTTCTCACTGCTTGTTCTAATCACGTGCCAATTTCCTATAGAATGAAGATGAGGGCTGGGAACAGTGGCTGATGCCTGTAATCCCAGCACTTTGGGAGGCCAAGGTGGGTGGATCACCTGAGGTCAGGAGTTCGAGACCAGCCTGGCCAACATGGCGAAACTCCGTCCCCACTAAAAATACAAAAATTACCTGGGCGTGGTGTTACATGCCTGTAATCCCAGCTATTCAGGAGGCTGAGGCAGGAGAATCGCTTGAACCCAGGAGGCGAAGGTTGTGGTGAGCCAAGATTGTACCATTGCACTCCAGCCTGGGCAACAAGAATGAAACTTAAGCTAAAAAAAAAAATGAAGATGAGGATGGAAGGTGGTTACCCTGCAGGGCCAGAAAGACACCAGGGCTTGCGATTAGGGACTGAAGTCACAGTCCTCCCTGCTGACTGTCTCTAGTTTCTGATTTGATGGGGTTTGCAGCCATTTTAGAAAAGTGATTGTTCTCTTCTGCAAATGGTTGTCGCCACGTTTATCATACTTCCAGCAGGTGGCAGCATAAGCCCGCAAGAATCTGGAAACTGCTGCTGGAGGGAGCCCGGATAATGACGTGGCTGCAGGCCTGTGCGTCTCTAACTCCAAACTCACCCTCAGATTTGGGACTAGTGGGTAGGCCCAGGGTGTCTCCCACCTTGAATAATGCTGCATAACCCCTACAAAAGGGGTTTCTTTTTTCTTTTTCTTTTTCTTTTTTGACACAAGAGTCTTGCTCTGTCACCCAGGCTGGAGTGCAGTGGGGCAATCTCTGACCACCACAACCTCCACATCCCAGGTTCAAATGATTCTCCGGCCTCAGCCTCCCAAGCAGGTGCAATTACAGGCACGTGCCACCATGCCCAGCTAATTTTTTTTTGTATTTTTAATAGAGACAGGGTTTCACCATGTTAGGATGGTCTCGATCTCCTGACCTGGTGATCTGCCCACCTTGGCCTCCCAAAGTGCTGGGATTACAGGTGTGAGCCACCGCACCCGGCCAAAAGAGGTTTCTAAGAGGATCCTACAGCTGAGACGTTTGGGAAGCATGTCCTGTGCTTTTTCTCTGAGAGTTACCCAGTTCTCTTTGTATGTCTGTCTCCCCTCAACCTAATACCAAAGCTTTTCTCATCCCAAAATACTGTCCCCTGACCATGCTGCCTCGCAGAGTTGTCCCCTCTTCCCTTCATTGCCAAACTTTCAGGATGACCTCACTCCAGCCTCCTTGAAGTGTGGCTTCTGTCCCCTACACCCATCATGTTCATTAAGATGCCAAAGCCAGTGTCTTCCCTCAGTTCACCTACTTCCCTGTAGCATCTGACAAATGATCCCTCCTTCCTGCCAAAACTCCTCCTCCACCTTTAAGAATGTAGGCAGTAGGGCCAGGCACGGTGGCTCATACCTGTAATCCCAGCACTTTGGGAGGCTGAGGCAGGTGGATCACTTGAGGTCAGGAGTTTGAGACCAGCCTGGCCAACATGATAAAACCCCATCTCTACTGAAAATACAAAAATTAGCCGGCACGGTGGCCTGCGTCTGTAATCCCAGCTACTCAGGAGGCTGAGGCAGGAGAATTGCTTGAACCCGGGAGGCAGAGGTTGCAGTGAGCTGAGATCGTGCCACTGCACTCCAGCCTGGGAAACTGAGCAAGACTCCATCTCAAAAAAAAAAAAATTAGCTGGGTGTAGTGGCAGGCACCTATATAATCCCAGCTACTCAGGAGGCTGAGGCAGGAAAATCACTTGAACCCAGGAGGCGGAGGTTCCAGTGAGACAAGATTGTGCCACTGCACTCCAGCCTGGGCAACAGAGCAAGACTCTGTCTTAAAAAAATAAATAAAATAAAATTTAGGCAGTGGCCCAGCACTGTGGGAGGCTGAGGCAGGAAGACAGCATGAGCTCTCAGGAGTTAGACACCAGCCTGAGCAACACAGCGGGACACCTGTCTCTACAAAAACAACACAACAGCAAAGAACTTAGACACACTAAGAGTGACTGAGGAGGAGAGGAAGGAAAATAACAAATCCCCAAGGATTGTAGCCATTCAAAAGCCCAATTCCATCCAATTCATAGATGGGAGCCCATGGCTGTCCCCAACCTCCTGGGAGTAAGAGGCCAGGAGGGTTACCCTATCTCTGATCCCTGTACAGGGAAACATGAAAAGACATGCATGTTCCCTCAGACAGCAGGGACTTGGTTTTGTTCACCGTGCCCAGGCTGGAGTGCAGTGGCGCAGTCTCAGCTCACTGCAACCTCCGCCTCCCAAGTTCAAGTGATGTTTCTGCCTCAGACTCCCTAGTAGCTGGGACTAGAGGCATGTGCCACCATGCCTGGCTAACTTTTATATATATATATATATATAATTTTTTTTTTTTTTTTTTTTTTGGAGACAGAGTTTCGCTCTTGTTACCCAGGCTGGAGTGCAATGGTCGGATCTCCGCTCACTGCAACCTCCGCCTCCTGGGTTCAGGCAATTCTCCTGCCTCAGCCTCCTGAGTAGCTGGGATTACAGGCACGCGCCACCATGCCCAGCTAATTTTTTGTATTTTTAGTAGAGACGGGGTTTCACCATGTTGACCAGGATGGTCTCGATCTATTGACCTCGTGATCCACCCGCCTCAGCCTCCCAAAGTGCCGGGATTACATGGTTTTTTTTTTTTTTTTTTTTTTTTTGAGACAAAGTCTCGAACTGATGCCCAGGCTGGAGTGCAATGGTACGATCTTGACTCATTGCAACCTCCACCTCCCAGGTTCACGCGATTCTCCTGCCTCAGCC